CACGTGGCCTTTTGGGAGATTCCTTTGCTTACTGTGCTTCTACTTGAAGTACCTTAACATGTACGCTAGCATTTGTTTCCTCACCTGTATCAGCATTCAGAGGTATTTCTTCCTGTACCAGCCATTCAAAGCCAAGGACTGGAAGCGGCGGTACGATGTAGCCATCAGCGCCGTGGTGTGGCTCTTTGTTGGGGCGGCGTGCTTACCCTTCCCCATCATGAGGAGCTACGGGCTAGCCAAAACCACAAACACCTGCTTTGCAGACCTTCAAGTCCGGCAGATTGAGAGCAAGCTGGCCACTGTGCTGATGATGGGCACAGCCGAGCTCTTTGGGTTCATTGGCCCACTCACCATTATTTTATTCTGCACTTGGAAAACAAAAGACTCTCTTCGAGGCTTCCAGATACCACTTCAAAACAGCAGTGAGAGGCGGAAGGCTTTAAGGATGGTTTCCATGTGTGCCATCGTGTTCTGCGTGTGCTTCGCACCATACCACATCAACTTCTTTTTCTACATGTTGGTGAAAGAAAACGTCATTACGGACTGCTTCCTGAGTACCATCACGCTCTATGCCCAACCCTTTTGCTTAAGTCTTGCAAGCCTGGACTGCTGCTTGGATCCAATCCTGTATTTCTTTATGACTTCAGAGTTTCAGGACCAGATATCAAAGCACAGCAGCATGGTCATCAGGAGCCGGCTCATGAGCAAAGAGAGTGCCTCATCAATTAAGGAATGACAGGAAAGCCAGCTTAAAAGGATGAAGATATTTCATATGAAGTCTGGGACTGTTCCATGATACATGATTACCAGCTCCATTGTGGAAAACCCTGCAAGTTTATGCAGGAGAGTTTTGTGGCAGAGGAAATCTTTTGGTGTACAGAAGATAAAACTCTGTTTAAGACCCAGATGTAGGAAGCTGAAGAGTGGCCCCACTGGCGTGACTACACTTAGTGCTGTGCCACACATGCCTGACCTATCTGGGCTATAAAAGATGCAGGAGGGAGTGACAAAGCTTTAGCTAGGAAATGGTGGAGACCTCCCAGAAGTTTTTCTTCTACTTTCCCACCTCCATGGCTCTATGATCAAGCCAGAGACAATCTCAAACCCATACACTGACATCCGCTGAAGCATCATCTCTGTTAAACACACACAATGCATACAAGAACCTGAAAATGGCCAGTAACAATAAATGGCATTATTCTTTCTGCAGTCAGTGCTGCAGATGCATGAAGGTTGGCAGCTTGCTTCAGCACGGCGGCCTCGGCTTTCCACTGCCGAGTGCGTCCCACTCGGCACCACACTTACCTCTGCTTCATCTTTCCTGCACTCCCCCTCCTGCTCTCATTCATTATGGCCTCCTCACCAAGCTCTAAGTCTGCTCCTTAATTGCTGATACATCCTGTAACTTGCACCTACGGCAAGAGAAATTCTCCCAATGGATCCTCAAAGATCTCCTTTTGCTCCAAGTGACTTTCTTCCTCTCCAAGCTGCCCGTGTTGGCAAGGGGGGCACCAACACATGGCCTTTGCCTTTGGATCCGGAGAAACAGGATCGCCAGGAGCATGCTGCAGACTGGGCACAGTCGGACTCAGCATCGGTGCAGGTGGTGGATCTGATGATGCCGGTGGTAGGATTCAGGTCCTTGCTCTCTTCTGTGTGGGTTTTTTTGGGCCCAGAGGTACCTGCAATGGCTCTGCCCCACAAAACCTCAGCTCAATGAGTTCAAGTGACACATCTTCTAAAAAAAGAGAGGTGTCCTTGCCAAGGTGACTTCAGTAACAAAGCATAGGCTAATTCCTTAAGTAAATTATTGTCATTTTTTTTCACCAGCTCCTCTTGTAATCTTAACATTTAGGCTTTCAAAATCAGCTATAAAGATATCAAAAAGCAGTGACAAGAAAGGATGCCATTGACCCTTTACTTTAAATTAGTGACAGCTCTTCAGGCAAGTTCACCCACTTTGGGTAACTTCAAGGGTATCCTTATGGTGCCTGGAGATTGTTTGGCTGAACACAGGCACTGATTTATTGCCTCTGGAAACCTATGGTTTTTTCAAAAGGAATGTGTACAGATCTCCATAACCACCCGTATCTTACGTGTTGCTACAAAAATAGAAGAAATACCAGAAACACTTTCCAAGTATGTATTTTAAATGTAACTACTCCATTCTGCTTAATTACATTTTAACTCAGCTAGAAAGTTTCTGCATCTTATATTTTCCCACCTGACTGATTTACAATAAAATGAGGAAAATAGCAAACAACAGGCAGGTTTAAATAAGCATTACACTGGAGCTCCTCTAAAAGAGAGTGAAGACATACTGGTTCAATACAGTAAGCTCTTGTAATTCTCCTCCCATTTGTGAGAAGACAATGTGGCTACAGTATGACCAACTTAATCTTTCATGTTTATAAGTGAAAATACCAAAATAATGCCTATCTGAAGGAAGTAACTGTCACGAAGAGAGTACTGTTGAAGACTTCTACAGTTTTCTAGAGAGAAAGCTGCAGGGAAAGCAAGCAGTCCACCTCTCAGTGAAGTCGGTGGAAATGTTTTCTCTGGTTTAAAGGGCAGTTTGTTATGCTGATGATACACACGTTTACACACTGCAAGTAGTCTCTTAAAAATGTGAGCGGAGATTGATGCTCAGGTACACAGTTAAGCATGCAGAATTGTTGCCAATTTAGCAGTTTTCTCGTAAGCTGAACACTATATAATATTGTCAGTGAAGGAAACTCATTTCAGTGGTTGTTATGAAGATTTTTACTGACCTTGATCAGTTAGCATGTGACTGAGAGCTGTTTACTGTGATTTCTTTCTCATACAATTCTCCATTTATCAGGCGAAAGCAAGCTGAAGGCACTGTTATGGTAACTGTGTAGCTTGTTCTACGTTTTTCTTTCCAAAACCTGATGCTTAAAAAATAAATGCATTTTTTTCAAATGTAAAGCTGAATTTCATAGCTATCATTTATGGGATCAACTCCTCCTTGGATCAAAGAGTTCAAGTGATGGAGTGCATCAAGTCTTAATATTCTTAAACAGGTTGCTTGTTTGCTTGTCTGCAGAAAGGTTTCCACCCCATATGACTGGTGTTTATATATTTTTTAAACTACAACACTTACATTAGATTTAGAGGTACTTCGGTGAAGAGAAAGGTCCTCCATAGGAATAGCTGTGCTGTGGGTGGTGCATGAACGGGTGGGGATGAGTGACTGCAGGACTGCAGAAGCCACTTCTTTCTATCTCATTCAACAGTCTTTTTGCAGATCCAAAGCTATATGGCTTAAAAAAGCACTCACAGTACTGACAACAAGATTAGTAAAGCAAAAATTGGTTACTATAGTCCCCTACATAATGAAAGTTGTAACACATCATGGGAATACCTGCTCCAACATCTGAACGCCCAAAGAGCGATGGTGGCTCTCCCACCCTTAACAATGAATTTGATGGCTCCATGAGGGATAACATTCCCCATCACCATGATGGCAGGCCCAACCACCTTGATTGCTCATGTTCTCCCCATCTTCCTGCCTCATCCTCTGAACTCCATTAAACCTCCCTAGAGCGGTCCTTTCTGCATACTGAGCCCCAGCCTTTGTGGAAGTCACACTCAACACTTTCAGCCTTTCAAGTCAAACCGCTTTGATATGCAGGGGATGAGACAATTTGGTCTAATGCTCTCTTCTACTGTGTGGGAAAATGCACTGGTTTTGGCTAGGATAGACTTAAGTCAGCTGTGTGTGCTTCACTACCGGATGGGGTTTAACCACAACAGAAAGTTAGACAAGGTGGTCATGATGGTGAGCTAGCCACAAGAGCAACAACACAAAGGAGAAGAGATCTGAAAGCAGGTAGATTATCAAAGATCATCAATTTGGCCTCCACAAACAAGGATGTGGAACTCAAAGCCTTTAGCTCAAGTCCTCCAAAACTTCAGCAGTGTGCCTCAAGAGAAGAATAGAGAAATCCAGTCTTAGTGTTGAAGACTGTATTTCAGCTGCCTTCATGGCTGAGAAGTGCTGTATCCAACACAAGATGTGGGGCTGCAGGTGCTGGCTTTTCATGCCAGCGCTCTCACACTTTCGAAGGCATAATGTGCCCGGCTCCAGTTCCTGTAATGCACCCTGTTTCCTGTGACCATAACCCATGGAATTATTTCCTGTTGTCAAAATAATAAACATGATATTGCTCCTGGGTTATCTCTTGTGTTGGTCACACTGCCCAGGCCCACCAGCTACAAGGAGACATCTTCAGCCTTCTTGAGCAGACAAAGTCTTTGGACCAACTTGAGACATTCTGTGACTTAAACAGAGATGCCACAGGAAGACAGAATCTAACTGAATCAAGAGGCTGGTTTGTGAAGGATGGACGTGGAGGGCTCCACTGGCACCTAGTGTGGAGCAACCCTGTGTCAAGCCTCATCCCAAAGGGAAGTTCACAGGATGGAAACATATTGAGGTCTCTAAACCACCTGCACTGACAGCAGTGCATGTCCCCTGCTGGCACAGCCCTGGGTAAAACCACAGCATGATTTATTCTTCCTCTCTAGAACAAGAGCCATGCACTAGCTAGCAAAAGAAAATGTGCTTCTTTGCAGGGCCAGCAAATGGCCACCCCTTCTTAACTGGTATCAGAGGTCTGGTAATTCCTGTCCTGCTGAGAAAGGGCCCTCCTGTGCTTGACATCAAATGTATGCAGAAAGAAACCCCATGGGATTTAACACCTTTTTGTAGCCTCAGGTTCTGAGCTGCAGGAACTTACTAGTACCTCAGCTTCATTTTCTTTCCTTAAATGAAATTACTCACTCTCTACACACAGTAAAATACTAAATATGCTGTAAATGCAGGATAACAGCTCAACAACTAGGAGCCAGCTAAGATATATGAAAACACTTCCTTGCATTTAAAAGATTTCAGAGCTAAGACGGGTGAATTTTGACCAAAATTGCTGGGTCTGTGGACTACACAGGGCCTTATCCCAAAAAGGTAGGACCAACAATTATTTGCTGTAAAAATAAATCAAAGCTTCCTGAAAATGCTGCCCTGTCGAGAACACTGTGCAGTAGCAGGAGGGTCTATGTGCCACAGGACACCAGGGACTCCCCCAGCCCCACGGGCCGTATTCCAAAGCTCCAATCAAGCTGCAGTAAGTCTCTGCACAAGGGTGAGTTGCTTTGTGTGGGCAAGACCTCCTCCTCCTGAATGGCCTGCTGTTTTTCATACATCCTTCAGGTGCATCCTGTCAGATATTTCTAAGTGCTGAGTGCTTAAAGCGATGCTGATCATATGCATTTGGCCTCCTGCCCACAGGATACCAGGCTAAAGGTGAAGACAACCTTTATCTGGAAGCCTTAGATAAAGTCTCACAGCTATTTAAAAATTCCTTTGTGTCTTCTGCTCTTGAAAGTAGAACATTGCATGTGTAAAGTGCATGCTTAGCGTCGGCAACGAACCAGGACAGAAATGCGAAACAAAAATGTGCTTGTAGTTGAAAGAAGAACAGAAAAGTTGATTAATATATGTAGTAGGAAGAAGCTTGAGGCTTGTCAATCCATCAGTCTTTCACAACCAGGACTGTTGCAATGTTCTGCAAAATTACTCCAAAAAGCCTATGAGCAGGGGAAGGAATCAATGTGGTTATGAACCCTGAGGTGCAAGTATGACCCTCCCCATGGTCTGACATGCGCTGACCTCCGGCCTTGCTGTAAACACATCCCTAATAATAGGGCTCGGAGAGGACTGGATACAGCGCTGGATGTGTGCTGTGGACACAGAAGTAGGATGTCCTAGGCAGGATATCCTGATACGAGAGCCACTCTGGGATAAACCTTTAACCTCTGGAGGGGGATAGGGCATGGTGCCAGCCTCTCTTCTGGGAACGTTTTGCAAATACACAAGCACTCTGCTTTCTTCCAAGGATCGCATCAGCTGCTGAGAAAGATGCACAGGAACCTGGAATGATAAATAACTCCAGCATCTTTTAAAATCACTTTGCTTTCAGCGAAGAGACATGGGGATTCACAGGTAACTAGTTGCTAGCAGGCTGCATTTACATGGTGGATAACCAAGTGGTAACGAAGAAGCCCATAGATAGGTCTATAAAGGGTGGTATATAAACTATATATAAACTGGTTTTGCCTTTGCCTTCATGAGGATGTTGACCAATGGATTTAAGTAACTGCATTTCCGCTGACCACAGGACAGTTCTGGTCCAGAATCCTCTTTTCCCTCCACTACTGTCATGAAGCACCACTTCAGGGCATGGGAGCACCCTCAGGTCCCCACAGTCAGCACTGCTGCCAGCACAGAGAAACCCTGAAACAGCACAACCAGCAGAGCCAGTGGGTTCAGATGCTGCGGAAAAAGCTGCTTGCTTGATCCCAGACCCTGAGCTGATGACTTATTCTACAATTAAAGTTTATAGTAGCTTCCTTCTTTTATTTCTCTTCCATAGCTAGGCTTCTGTTAATTTTGTAGGGTCATAGGACCAGTTACAAAAACTAGATGAGTACAGCAAGAATAGTTCTATTTATACATTACCTATGGTAAGAATGGGAAAGATGCTGACAGCTGTATTGTCTTCACAAGCCCAGGGCTGTAAGAGGGGACACTATATATCAGGTAAAACTGTTCAACTGGAAATGAGGCAGCTCATAAGAAGTTACACTGCAATATATGCCTACCAGTTTTCAGCAGCACAGAAAGAAGGTGGTCATGCTTAGCAGGCAATAAAGGTCTAAGGAGTATATATATACACACATATATATATGGGAAAGGAATTAAAGGAGGCAAAAAGAAAAAATTAATTGGGAAGGATGCACATTATGTTTTGTGGTTTGGTTGTTGGTATTTTTAAACAATAGTATTTTGGGAAAATCTCCACCTTAAACCGTTATATTATTTCAGAAATAAAGCCCAAGCCCATTAGCTTTAGCCTTGATAGTCTGAGGCTAACCAAACTTCCAAGAAAATAAAGGAAAATTATTACCTTCCAGTAACTTGCACTGGCACAGGTTTCAGTTTTCCTTTAGCAAGTACTTATTGGAAGATTTTTGCTTCTGTATTTTATAGTTTCTAGCAAGCAACTGCAGATAAAAGCAGAAGCAGCTGGACCGAAGGACAGCATCGCCTAACACAACTTCTATGCGAGAAAGAAATCCATGTCCAAGGTCTCTATCGCACGGCACTTGGATCAAATGATGTCATCGCCTTCCCAGTTGTTTTAACGTCATTAGCCGTACACGTTTTGTGTGGTGAAGAGAAACAAAATACAGGATTTCCTGTTCTGCTACCACTCTACTGGGCTGCAGATGCCGGCAGGATCCCAGCGCTCTGAAAACATGTGGAAGTTTAACAAGGAGTCGCTGGGGCTGGGATTGCTGCGAGAATTGGTAGGAAATAAAAGCAGAAAGCTTGCTCCTCCTGCTGTGTAGCATGGATGTCACCCCCCTGAAGGATGGGAGTCACAGGAAGGTAAGCTGGATTTTGTTGTGTGCTTTCATCTGTAGATCGACACTATCGCAGCTTTGAGCAGCGTTACCTATTAGTTGTTTTAGCTCTTCCTCAAGAGATCTTATCAGGCAGAAACTGGTGCAACATCCGCAGCATCTTCTGACTGTGCCCATGTACTTCTGCCTCGCTCGGCTCCGAGGGGTGGGTGAGTGGAGCTCAGTGCATCCGTGCAGGCTGCTGTGTACGGCAGTGCACAGGGAAAGCTGGCTTTATCCAAAATACTTCAATTTTGACGTTACTGACAGAAGCTGCCATCAGTGACCAGCTCTGTTTGCGTACTTCCTATTAGTGCCTAGATTAAACAAACAAGATTATTGCTTAAAACACGAGTTCCAGAAAGCCTCCGCAACCTCAAACCAGGAGCTTATTTCAAGCCAAAAGTGTATTTTTGTTTGCTGAACTTCTTTTCTCTCCAGCATCCCAGGCCTGGGCAGGGTTGAAGGGAGGCAGCTCTGCCCCAGTCCCCCAGCCCTGGGGCTCTCCCAGGCACGCCTGGAGTGCAGCTTTGGGCTGGTTTATCCAACCGAGCCATGGAAAAGATGAGGATGAGGTTTGCCAGTGGATTTGGGAGCCGTAAATGCAGTACCGCAGCAATGTAGGGCTGGGTGGGGCGCACAGTGATTCAGAATAGCCAGGCAATTTCCAATACTGACAGCCACATACGCCTCCAGGAACAGATACTGCTAACACTCAGAAAAAGAAATGCGGTGTTTCAATAGCTGCCTTAACCACCTAATTAATTGCAGAGTTAACTGATGTTTAATTAGTTGTAGTGCTGCATCCACAACCTGTGGTCTTACTCCTCTGGCAATGATATTGGTCTCCCCTCTCTTAATTTCAGTGTGCATCTGGATAAAACTCAGCTTTGCCACCTAAAAAGTCACCCCTCACCTCCTCAAGTCTTGCCCATGTATATCTGTGCCTGGATGAAATAGGAAAACAATCAAGGAATGGCAGGGAGCATTTAGTATATGAAGTTGCTGAACAAAAGCCCTGCCAAAGCCCGTGGGAGCATCTCTGCCCCAACACCAGCATCACCAACAGCAAAATGCGGAGGGAGCCGGAGGGGCTTGGGGCAAAGTGCAGATGGAGGGAAAGCAAAAACTGGAAAACAATAATAAATACAGAAATCCACCCTTTCGGGAAGCGCTGCAGTGAATGGGCACTGGCCTGAGCCCAGACCAGCAGCGGCTCCGTGGGAGCTCCACCTAAGAACCAAAAGTGCCAGGTACCAGGAGTGACACCAGGCTCTCCCAGCGGGAAACAGGCACTACTGCACTCCCAGGGAAAGCCAGCAAGGAGGCTCCCGATGGTCACTCCTGCAGGGACACGGATTAGGATTCGGGCTGAGACACGTGGCAGGGAGGAAATGGCAGGACAGGGACAACAGGCACTTTAGTCCTTCCCACAAGTCCAGACCAGCAAGTGCCACCTTTGTCACTGGCAGACCATGACACAAGCTGGGAATAGCTGCATTCCCCCATGCTCTGCAGCAGTTTTTCCCTCCCCACTTTCTGCAGGGATGTAAGGACATGTTGTCTTGCCATCATTTTTCCCAGGCTTAAACAGACTCCATGCAAAGGGCACCAACAAAGAGCAGGGCCAGTGTGGAGCACAAGCCCCTTGTGATTTTCAGGCAGGCGAGGGGTGCGTGGGGATGCTGCACAGGCCTAAGAGTTTTGTTTGTCACTGTCCCCTTGTGACAGATGTCCCTGCTCCCCTGCCATGTCCCAGCTTGGTGGAGAAATCAGAAACCTCTGACCTGGCACTGCCAGCTCAAGCACAGTCTGCAACCAGAAGGTGCTCGAGTCCAGCATCAGCCAGGGTTTCACTTCAGCATTGCTTTTTTTGCAGCCAAACCCTGGAGAAATAAGCAAGGGGGAGAGAGCAATTAGGGAAGGACTCAGTTTGGAAAGCAGGGCATCTGCACAGAAACACAGGGAAATGGACCAACACTGCAGGCAGCGCGCAGCCAGCTGAGAGGCAGCGCCTGTATTTTATACTTATATATGTGTGTGTGCATAAATGTAGAACCTCCCTCCTGAGACTGAAAATGCCACAATCCCCCTGGAGAGCTGCCTAGGTGAGGAGGAGCAGGGTAGAGGAGCCTTCACCCTGCGCCTCGAAGCAATGCTGGGCTCTGCCAGCCAGTCCCTGGCTGCAGGAGATGAGCTTTTAGAAATCCATCTCCATGGCAAATGCCAGGCTCAGGGCTGTGGGAAACAGCATCACTGGCTGCTGCTTCATTAAATACCACTGTTGGGGGTTTCAGTGGCAACAGGAATAGGTGCTCAGGGTTCTACCAGGTCAGGCTCTGGTCTCCAGAAGGGAAGGGGAGGCTGCTCAACACTTTGCAGGCAGCTACAGGCTGTTCCCAAGGGGAAAACTGCACTGTTTTGATGCAGATGATGCCCTTGGTTTGTAATCTCTGCTACTAAACGACCTCTTCGTGAAAGATCAGACCATTTCCCCTGAGCTCTGCTCACAAACAGCAAAATCCATCACCTGTCTGGAGAGCTGCACAAGTACCTGTGAACTCCCCATGACCCACTAATACCCTCAGCTGGCTCGAGGAGGTGAAACGGGCAAATGGATGAAAAGAATTCCTACTGTAACTCAAAGGCAGATGTATTCATCTTCCTTCGTGACCTGAGCTGTTGCTGGAGGATCATTTCTGTTGCTACAACACGATGCCTGCACAATGTGCCGTGAGTGCCGGAATTGAGTTAGCAGGACGGGCAGAGCAGCTGGCATGTGTTTGGCCAGCTATTAGCTTATAAATGCAGCCTTAAATCTGGAGCCAGAGCTCTGATAGATCTGTCTGCACCTCTTCCACTGGCTTCTGCTTTGGTCAGCTGCCTGCCAGCACCATTGTTTGCTGATGCTAATTATTGCCCTTGCTGCTGATTATATCATGCACGGATCCAAAAAGACAGTATTGAGATCCATTTGAAATCCCTATTTACAGTCCTACTAAGATTGCTTGTAGACATAGAGAGCATCAATTTGATGGGAGTTTGACAGAAAGCTACATGCAATAAACACGGTCCTGAAAAAAATCACAGGGAGCTGAAGTAGCATTCTGGCATTAACAGTAAAGAGATTAATGGCATAGAGCTCAATTGCAGTGTCACCAAATTGTGGCATCACCTTAAAGGGTGGCAGGGTACGAAATCCTGCCAAGCACATCCAAAAGTAGCTGCAGGGAAGATGCCCAGGATGCTGCTTGTAAGTGAGGTCTGGCCCTGCACCCTTCCCAACACGCACCCTGTGCTGTACACATACCTACACAAAACTTACTCCTCTGTACTGAAGTGCATTTACTCTATACTGGAGATTTTGGCTTTTCAGCATCTGATTTTACTCCTTACAGAAACTCTTCACCTGCTTTAATTGCCCCATGAGTGAAGAGACTCAGCCAAGATGGAGAGCAACGCGTCCTCCGGGAACTGTACCAACCCCCAGATGTCCTTCCAGTCCACCCTGTACGCCACCACGTACACCCTCATTTTCATCCCTGGCCTCCTGGCAAACAGCGCTGCCCTGTGGGTCCTGTGCCGCTTCATCAGCAAGAAGAGCAAAGCTGTCATTTTCATGGTCAACCTGGCTGTGGCTGACCTGGCCCATGTCCTCTCGCTGCCCTTACGGATGTATTACTACATAAACCACAGCTGGCCATTTGGAAGCTTTCTGTGCCAGGTGTGCTTCTACCTGAAGTATCTCAACATGTACGCCAGCATTTGCTTCCTCACCTGCATCAGCATCCAGCGGTACCTCTTCCTCCTGCATCCCTTCAAAGCCAATGACTGGAAACGGCGGTACGACGCAGCTATCAGCGCTGCTGTCTGGCTCTTCGTTGGGGCAGCTTGCTTACCCCTGCTTGTAGTGAGGAGCCCAGCCTTGTCCAACAACATAAACACGTGCTTCTCGGACTTGGGGGTGAAGCAGCTCAGCCCAGGAGCCTCCATTGCAATGGTGACAGTAGCAGAGCTGTTTGGGTTTGTCATCCCCTTCAGCATCATTGCCTGCTGCACTTGGAAGATGTGGCAGTCCCTGCGGGAGGGCCCAACTCAGCTGCAAAACACCAGTGAGAAACAGAAGGCTTTGCGCATGGTCTTGATGTGCGCGGCTGTCTTCTTCATCTGCTTCACCCCCTACCACATCAACTTCCCTTTCTTCATGATGGTGATAGAGAACATCATCCAGGACTGTGCTATTCACAGGAGCACGCTCCGCTTCCACCCCATCTCCCTCTGCTTGGCGAGCCTCAACTGTTGCCTGGATCCGGTCCTCTACTACTTCATGACCTCCGAGTTCCAGGACCATCTGCTTCACCACAGCTGTGTCACCCTGCGAGCCTGGTTCACACGCCGCGGGAACCTCTCCATCGCTGAAACCAGCCACGACATTCGCATGAAGAGAAACCTTCCACGCCTCAAGTTTTTGTCTCTTCCCAAGTTCTTTGGCCGAATAAACAGCATGGAAATCCCTGCCATGCCACCTGACGAGCTTCTGCTGGAGTCCATCTCTTGAAAAGCATAAGCCAGTTTCTGTCCCTGTAGGTGCTTCTCATAGCTCAAGTGAAGATTGTGTTAGGTCTCCAAATGTGTCATTACCCTTGTGTGCAGCAGATGACAGAACCTGACCTAGAAGGATATTTCGATGTTGGTTGAGTTGTTGCTGCTGGGGAGTATTTGTCTTACATAGTTCTCTGTTGTGATGTTAAAGTACCCAAAACAGCTGTCATGATGCCAGTAATTCTCCTGTGCTGAGCCGCAGCCAGGTTCAGATCCCTCATTTCTCTTGTTTGAATGCTTCTACATATTTGTCATTTTGGAACATCCTTCTGAATCCTGAGGTGTAAGCAGGCAGCTCAGCCTCAGCACAGCTCAGGCAGGAAGCACTGGAGGAGTTTTGGACCCCCAGCTGCACATACCTGTGGCTCACAATGACTTAAAGCATCCTCCATGCTCTCATGAGGCTCTAGATCAGGACAGTTCATTATCTCCATGTAGATTGAACCTATTCTCATTGCAAAAAAATCAATCACTTCTACCTAACCTAGACCGAAACACTATAACTTTACCAACATATATCAAGCAAAGAGTATTAACCTCTGTCCACATCAGCATTGAAGGGAGTTTTCAGACAAACTGGGCTCAGTTCCCACTACTGAAAAAGGGACTCAGAGCCAAGCAAAGGAGTCCACCTGGCCCTTGGGAGCTATGGGATGCTCAAGTGACTATGAGGGGGTGACTACTTGGAAGACAGACAGTGACTGGATATCCCATGAAAAAAGAGGAAGGATGAAGGATGTCTCCCAGAGGACATTTACTTGCAGACACCCAAGGCATGCCACGGAAGGGAGGAACAGTAGTTGGTGTTGCCATGTCTTCTGTTGTTATTAGGAGCCTTGTGTTATTTGGCATTTTGCTAAAGCCTGTGGTTGCAGATTAAGATGCTATCCAAGCCTCTCAGTTTTGCTTTAAAAACCAGAAAAGGTCCCAGCCTTCACTGGGTACTGAGAAAAGTTTACAAAGCTGACCCAACGGCGTCCTTAAAGCTTCCAACTCGGGAGGAAATAAAATGATCTCAACCCAAGGTTTAGCATCATGGGTATTACTTTAAGTGCTTGTCAATGGTCTCGTTAGCCACATGTCTGCTCCCAGAGCAATGACAGTCTGCAGAGGGGAACACCCCACTTTGGGACTCACAGAGGTCCTGTTGCCACCGTGGCCCTCCGCACAGTGGCCAAGTGGCCAGGGCAGGGGTTTCCTCCTTGTGGGTTAAGGCTTTGATGGCTGCAATGCCAAAAACCCCTCAGGGAATTACATAAGTAAACATAGGCAGAGGGGGTTTGATCGGAAACAGCTTTGCCGATAATTGGATGCACATTTCCAACCCATGCAGCGTTTCTGGGAAGCATGGAGCAGGCGGTGGTTTACTCTCACGTTGCCAAGGCTGGTCTTAGATGAGAGAAGATCCAGACAACCTGGAACAATTTGCTTTGGTGCTTACAGCGTGCCAGAGACAGGCAGAAAACACGCTGTCCTGCAGCTCAGTGGCCCACATCAACTCCTCCCCTCGAAAAAAAGAAAAGAGAACAATAAAAGCACACATTTTCCTTGTTTGCTGGTGGGGTGAAGGAGCATTTAGGGCTGAAAAAACTCAGCAGCTTGCCCAGGCAAAACAGGAAACCTAAGCAAAACCTCTCCAATGCCGTAGCGTGCAAGACCCGGTTGTGGGCAGCTGCCACAGACAAGACAAGTCAAACCAGCAGCACCTTAAACGGGAGCATGGCTTTACCCTGTGAGTCTTTCGGGAATGGGAGAACCCTGAGTAGCTGTTGGCTGACATCCAGGTAGCCCTCAGTTGCCACAGCTAGGGGTTCAGAAGTCCTGCTACTGACTGCACACCCCGTTGTTGCAGCTCCAGCATTACTGGCAGCACCAGCTCCAGGTTTCCCAGTGGCTCCAGTCACCACTGGGACCTTGCCAGCTTGTTTTCAGATTGCACAGCACTTCTGAAACTTCTGCAGCGTCACTTCCCCCTTCCAAAAAGAAAACAGGAAAAAGAAAAGCAAACCAAAACTCTCACTAATCTGTCACACAGAAGCATAACCTCAACCCTTACTCAGGCTGCCCCTGCTGCTTCCTGGGCTTGCCAGCACTGCAGGTTGCATTGGAAATACAGCACAAAACCCCCTTCCTGGGTTAGATGCACTGGGTAGCAAGGATTTTGATGGCTTTTACACAAACCAAACCCTGAGGGAATATCCTTTTCCGGTGCAGACTGGTGCTTTCTGCCCTTCAGAGGCCACAGGATGCCTGTCAGCCCTCCTGTTTTATCACAATCCACCCAGTTCCACTACCACAAACACCCTGGCTGCGTGCCGGGACCCAAGCCACAGGGATTTGGGGTCAGAGAGAGCGTGGATGCTGTGGAAGGGGATACAGATGGACAGGGATGCTGCTGGTCACTGGTGCTGAGGTGAGAGTGCTCAGGAGTTGTGGGGGGCAGCAGGTAGGAGCGGGCTGGGGATGTCTGGCTCTACAGTATCCCTAAGAAGACTTCAGTAAAAAGCTGTTGCATTGAAGATTTGTTTTCCCCAGACCAAGGTGTGAACCAGCTTCTTGCAAGGGAAAAACTCAAGGCTGAAGGGAGAGCAAGGGGCTGGGAGCTGACACGTGGGGAAGGGAAGAATGCAGGGTGAATGAAGAGCTTGTCAGGATTTCTTTCGCAAAGCAAAGAGCAGCAAAGCCAGTGGCTCAGCTGGACCTCTGCCAGCACCCGTGACATCCACGTACCCTGAGCTTTTCACATGCAATTAATTATTCTATATGGCTTAATCCATTATGATCGGCTGTAACTACAACTGCTTAGCTGCTTTTATATGTGTGTCCATCCATATACGCATACACCCCTGCACACACACACCACACTTCCATATACAGTAAATTATGCAGTACTTGGGCGTATCCTAGAAGATGTCTTGTGCACAACACTTCCTAAGGCGCCACGAGGAAAGAGGGAAGGTTGCTTTTCTCTTTGCTAAAAATACCCTTTTCCTCCCTCCATGACCACATGCTTCCAGTCCAGCCCTAGCAAAGTGACTTTGCCTCTGGAAAACCACTCATCCTCAGCTCCTGGCGGGGCTTGCACCACCTACCCGGTAGCAAGACTCAGCCTCTCATGATCTTTGGCACGGTGCTAACAGCTACCACTGCTGGCAAGAAGCTGCTCCTCCATCCACCCACCAAGAGAGGGGGAAGCACTGGGCCTGGCAAAGGAACAGACACACCAACAACATCAATTCTGACTGCAGCCTGAATGCACAGAAAGTGAATTTTGCTCCTTTAAGCCAAACCGAGCCAGGGAGCGGTTTTCCAGACAGTCATGATTTCATCAGACCCGAGTCCAGCTTCTGGATTCACAGGCTCAGCCAGCAACACCCTGTGAAGCCCAAGTGTTCAAAGGGACAGCACCATTTGAGAGACCCCGGGCTCTCCATCAGTCCCTCGTGCACTGCAGGGTCATGCTCACAGCACAAGGGAAAGGGTTTGGAGAACTCTGCGTCAATGCCATGTTCAGCACCATAAGGGTGAGCTTTCCACAGAGAAACAGTCAAAGCCTCAACCTTGCAGCAGTCAGCAAGTCCTTTCCAGCAGGAACTGCCATGCCGATTGCTCAGTCTCACTCCTCTTAACAGGGGATTTTTTAGTCTTTAAAGACATTTCCCCTGCTGTAGGTGGATGGGGCAGGCACTGAGGCTGGGGAGGGAAATCCAGGACTTTCAGCCCCGAGCCTGGTGGCAGCATCACGGCTGCACCCCTGGCTCGTGTGAGCCCCACTGGAGCTGAGAGCTGTGGGCAAGAACCCGGCACAGCAGCAGGGCCCTGTCCCTGCTCCCCCTTTGCAAACGTGCTCCTGCCCAGTGCATGCCCTTCCCCGCTCTCCTCCTGGGTCATCACCGGGCAAAGCATCAGCAGCCGTGTGGAGAGAAGACATTCAGCCTGTCCACGGGAGTTGTTGCCATTAAAGCCTGCCAGTGCAGATCAGAAAGGACTCAGCTGGTTTTGCCTGAGGATCTTCTACAAGGTCACGAAGCGCAAGCTCAGATGAGCCGAAAACTTCCAGTTTTTCTAAGACAAAAATGTAAGTACAAGACAAACTATAAGAAACATAAAGAAAAACATAAGTATTATATCAAATTTTCTGTTATACAGTAAAATAATTGCTTTGCGAATTGGTGCCCAGCTCCAAGTTCTCCTGCTTTTTGGTGGCCTCAACTTTGGCAGGTTAGGGGAGGGTCTGGCCAGTGCTGTCACTGTGCACCCCCTGCGAGGGGACATTCAGCATTCAGCTGCCGGGAAAGGTGAGAAGTGGAAGGCACCGTGTGGTTCCAACCCACATACCCTGAGAAGGGGCCACGCCGGCACTGCCACACACAATAGCTCCTGGAGTGACAGGAAACAGGATGGATGCTGGCAGTGATGCGCACCAGCGGCACAGTGTGGCACCAGCAAAACAGGATATGGTTATGCTCTGAAAGGTGTTTTTGAAACACAAAGTTTATCTGTACAGTAAATACAGTTGCTGCCCCAAGCCCAGGCCATGCTTTCTTATAAATAGGCTGGCTTCTGCAGAAATGAAAGTGCAAAACTGAGCATCCATCACACGTTTGATTAGATAAAGCCAAGATCATCTCAGAGCCCAGGTGCTGTGCAGCCATGGGGCGTTGGTACTGCATTATCCTTGGGACTGGCCTCAGTTTTGTTGTCCATTAGTGGTACCCAAATCATGTCCCTGGTCCCCTTGAGAGGCAGGGGGGTGCCAGGGTTACACAGGGGTGGGGCAGGGCCTGGGAATGCCAGGTTTTACACCACAGGATTTTGGGGTTAAGAGGGGGGGAATAAAAGGGGGTTTTAAACCTTTTAAACCCTTATATCACAATGGTGAAAACACCTCTCAAAGCCCAAGAGCACACAGCAGAAGCTGCTGGGAGGCATTGGCAAGCACAGGGGAAGTTCTGCACCCCAGATCCTGCTGTAACTGGGGAAATACCCCAGGACTAACATGAAGCAGCATCCTGCACAGAGGGCTCAGAACACCTCTCAGGAGGCTGCAACAGCAACAAGCCCCATTTAAGCAACAAACCCTAAACCTTCACAGCTTCTAGTCCAAAAGCAGCAGCAGAGTAATCCATCCCTGCACCCAAAGGGGCAACACTGCAGCAAAGATCCCACAGTGCTGAAAGCTCTCGCTCCCACACAGCATTAATTAAAACACGTTACTCAATCAGCAGGCTTCAAATAAAAGGCTAGCAGCTTTAACTAGAAAGAGCATTGGCTGCTGAAACAGACAAGCATCCCGCAAAGCATCTTTTGGGAGATGCGCTCTGCAAAGCCCCAGCAAGGAGCTGTGCCACCGCAGGGATGACAATCCCAGCACACTTCAAGGCTATAGAAGCCCACAATGTGCCCAAGAGATTCATTTCCTATAAACCGCAATAAAAAGTAGTGTATAGAGCTACAAACCATGCTGGAAGGTGAAATTACACAAGTAAATCAAGAATGCTTTAAAGCAGGAGGTACCAACCTGGTACCTGCTGCAAGCATGGCGTGCTGTGGTGGGGGGACAGCAATGGACCACACTGCCTGGCCCCATGCACCCATACGTCCATTCTGTAGAGATGCAGCCCTCCCCACAGGTTGCGATGTAGCGTGAGACCTGCTCTCCTCAGCAGACAAGCAAGAAAAGTGAACACGCGCAAATTAAGATGTAAATAATAGCTACAGAAATGGTTAAAATGGCTAAAAAAAAAGTCACTTTTTCAAAATAACCGGTTGAATCGAGGATTCTCTTGACGCTAAGTTTTGCTCAAGGCTGCCGGAGGTGGAATCAGCAGGCAGAGGACCGCAGGAGTGGTGCTGCTCAACATCCTCAGCCCAGCAGTGCCCTCTGCCGGTGGCCGTGGCCGCAGAGCACCCAGCGGGTGCCGAGCGGGGGGCCGCTCACGGCGATGGGTGACACTGCTTCACGGCGATGGGTGACACTGCTTCACGGCGGTGGGTGACACTGCTTCACGGCGATGGGTGACA